ATATATATATATATATCATTTGCTTGTATCTTGCAATTAATGATTGACATATAAAAGGAATAATCAATTGAAAGAAAAATCACTTTATTCTTTAGAAAAGAGGTGTTTAAAAAAATGTTTGTCTGTCGCAAAATAAATGAGACATTATATAGAGATATGCTACCAAAATGTTAAGTATCTTGTTTTATCATAATTGAAGTAACCATTTGGTGAAATACGTTAAAAGTCTACATTAAATATTTCAATGGACATTTCTCTTTGAAGAAGACAAATGATAGCAAAAGATAATATCTAGAAGTTTTTCAACAATCATAATTCTTGAGCTACTTATACATACAAGATCTCAATACAAGAAAGGTTGACCGGTTTTTTATAATAATATCTGAGTTTTACAGTGTTCAAAAGCTTTATTATGTTTTAATCTTTGTACATAATTTTGCATGTTTGTCTTTATAATATGATAATCAGTGACTTTTTTCCTTTTGTATTTTCTTTGTGAAATTAATGTCAAGTTTGAGGAAGTTTTTGTATGAAAAGAATATTTGAATTTGAAGTTTGAAAAAATTTTATGTTCAAAGAATACTTGTGAAATTTGCTTAATAAGATAATAGAAAGAAGAAAAAAAACTTACTTGGATTGAGCTATAAGTGATTCATTTAAAGAATAGTTGTATCTTATATATTTAGTAGAAATTAGTGATTTTTCCAAGAATCAAATGTAGTCTCAATGGTAGAGATGAACTAATATAGAATTTTGTGTTTTTCATCTTTCCTTACCCTTTATGTTTTTAACAAGAAGGTTCTTGTTTTGATAATATTTTTATATTGTCTTTCTTATTGATCAAAGTTATTCTCTTTAGTCTTTATCATACATCATCTAATTTGTTTTTACAAGTAAATTTGTTTCAAGAAAATATTTCCAAAAATTAAGTGTACAATTTAACCCCAGTCACTATATTTTTCTTTGTTTTATAAGAATAACACACCAAAACTAATCATGGTATGACAATCTCAAGTCAATACATTTGTGTTAGAATAGTCAAAATTACCACAATGTAATGGTTCTTTTACTCAATTCTCTTTGAGATTATGTGTTTGAAAGTCCCTAAAGTCTTCCATTATCAACAAGTCTTGAATTAGGAAAATTACATGTCTCTCATTATAATTTACCCCATGCATTATGTATGAATGCATATAAGTCATTCAATGATTCCATAATTAATTCTTGTATAAGATTTATTTCTCCTAACTTAGACATTGTATCTTCCTTGCCTCAATTTTTATATATTCATTATTCAAGTCATCATAGCTCATGCTCTTATATCTCTTCTCTTAATATTGTCTTTTAAGTCTTATGTATTTTAAGCTATCTTTAAAATCTTATGAAAGTTTAGATACATTATGAAACATAGAATAATTAACAAAGTCCTAGTAATTTAATATATTTAACTAATTTTTAATTTAAGTCTTGTTAACTATTTAGTCATTAATCAAAATGCTCAATTAAGTCTTAATAATTGCTTAACCCTTGGTTAAGTATTAATTAATTTTTAATTAATTTTTAACTAATTACATTAAATACTAATTAAATCAATATTTTAAATTAAGAGCTTCAATACCTTAATAAATGATGTAAGGCATCATTGAATTTTCTCCCACATATATTATCCTCATAAGCAATCCTTTCTAGACATGGTTAACTAATAAATGTAAACATCACTTTGGATGTAATAATTACTTCATCTAAATCATATTTTTTATGTGTTAAACTTTCTCTTTTGTTCTGTTTTTTTTTTTTTACACATTCTAAGTAATAATAATTACCTTTTTCACATATACTCCTATTTGACAATAATTATTCCTATTTCATCATCACTTTTACTTCACATATTTTAAGATAATAAATGAAGGTATTTTGGACTTACTTCATCTGGGCCATTACTTTTTATGTTAGGCTTTCTTTTTTATTCCATTTTTTTTATGTTTTACATATTTCAAGTGTAACAACCCACCATGATTACTACATTTGATGTTACCATCAACTAGCAATGGAAAAAAAAGCAACTACCTAAGGTTAATACTTTAAACATTCCTAGACATGCAAGAGATAACATACATACATAATGTAAATTTTCTCCAACTACAGGAATATATATATATATATATATATATATATATATATATATATATATATGTGTGTGTGTGTGTGTGTGTGTGTGTGTGTGTGTTTGTTTGTATAGTAATCCCAACACATATAGTATAACCCTAATTGTCGATCAAGCAACATATATGGTTTAACTACAAAAAAGTAGCACCCAAAAACATATCTACACCACCGACCACCATAAGGCCTCAAGCAAACCATTCCTCAAAATTATCTCTATTATTCTCTCATACAAGTATAATCATCATAGTCCAACCATATAGAATAGGCAAGGGTAAGCTAGAGTTCAAAGAAATGAACATACATAACAGAAAATATAAACAACAATCATACAATCTTATATTATTCTCAAAACAACATCCAACTCAATCATCATTATCAACATAGCATATGAATTACACAACTTAAACAACACATCATATGCATAACAATCAACTTTATGCATCATCACACATTTCAACAATGAAGATCTCCTACAATACAAGCGAACATTCTAAATGACTTGACCCTACTAAATTAATAACCCAATCTTTTTACATCGATTAGATCAACAACCAAATGGGATATCAATCACTAATAACATGTGTTCTTACCGGAGATCTGCTGTGGAGATGATCTGCCGAGTAAGATTGGTGAGCCTCCTTTGTTGGTACGTTGGTGTTCCAAGATGGGGGTGGTACCTGCAAAAGAGACTTCGATGCTAAAGTTAGGGTTTGTATGAGTATATGTTTCGTATAAGTAATGCATGTACCTTAGTGTAAATTAGGGTTGCGTTGGGCCTTGGGCTTGAGATCAGTTGTGATCTAATTAGATAGCGGATCTCGTCTGGACCGAGATCTCCTGAGATCAGTTATGATCTGGTTAAGTGACGAGCTGACGTCACATAGCGCGTATCCGAGGTCGCCACGCGTTGTGATGCCGAGCCGGGAGCTCGACTTTGCAGTACGGATAGTACACTAGCCCCCCGAGCTCAGAAGACAGTGGGTCGAGGAGTTAAGACCGAGCTCGTCAAGTGGCTGTGACCCTTTGCGTACGCCTGCTTGTTAAGATGTCGTGTGTCATAACTGGTCATTTCCGAAAACGTGCAAGTGGCGCGTTAACGGGAGTGACGGTTATGTAATGATGGTTTGCATTTGTCATAATGGTTCTCAATTAATGTGCCGTCAGACGTGCCCTTAGGCTGACACGTGCCGTGACCGTTTTGAATTTGGGAAAAACCATTTTTCTCTCCCTCGCGCCTCTTCCCTTTTCACTTTACTCATTTTCGCTCTTTCAACTTTTTGCGCACGCTGTTTCTCTCGTTTCTGCTTATCCTCCGTCTCCATTTTCTCCGTTTCCACCGTCGTTTCCGGTAACCCAGTCATTGTTAGGGTTGTTTTCTGAGGAAGAGTACCAGGTACTTCCTTTCTACAGTTTTCTTTTTCCTTCTTTCCCAATCTTCTTCGAGTCTTTCTTGTTTTCTCCATGGCTGGAGGGAGTGGTGCTGGTTCCTCCGCCCCTGCCAAGGGTAAAGGCAAGGCGCGGGGCAAGGCGACGGCTACCGGAACGGTCGCCGCCAGGAAAAAGAAGGAGGTGGAGCCGCTAACGGACCTCGTTCCAAGCATTCCTGGGTACGACTGGGTTCAGCGCGAGATGGCGGAGGCCCAAAGCGTGTTCCGGTCCTTTCTTGAAGTTAATGCGATCTTGAGATCGTACACGGATTGCGACCCTTCCATCTCCCGGATGATCCGGCTTGAACCTTGTCAGGCCGGTGAGGGCGTGTATATGGGGAAGTCTACTGACCCTCCCCATTTCTATGTTTACCAATGCTTCTTCAGGGATTTGGGCATTTGCCTTCCCTTCACACAATTTGAGTGTGACTTCTTGAATTTTTTCAACTCGGCTCCTTGCTAGTTGCACCCCAACAGTTGGGGTTTTTTGAGGGCTTTTCAAGTCCTGTGTTCGGCCCTAGGAATAGAGGTGTCTCTTCCTGTTTTTCTTGATTTCTACCAATTGAAAATAGGCGTTCCGCCTTATGGCGTGCTGTCCCTGAGTGGGAGTAGGGATGGAGGTTTGTTTACTCCCTACTCCCAGTCATACAAAAATTATAAACTTCCGGGTCGCCCTTGTGGATGTCGATCCCTTGGAGGATGGGGCATTCTATTTCGGCGGTTTGCTGAAGTTCCCTTTCTATTGGTGCCCCAAACCGTCTAGGTTTCACGGGGTATGCCAAGTGAAATTGACGGCTTCAGAGGCGGCCGCCATCGAGAATCTTACTGTGCTTCCTCACCCGCTGGATTGCAAGCTCGTCCTGTCGCTTGCGAATTCGGCGTACAAGGAGAGGGGCCTGGAGAGTGAGTATCTCGTCCTATTTAGAGTGTTAGGGTTTGTGAAAACTCCTTTTTCTGATGTGCTTCATTTTTTGTGCTTGTAGGCATAATGGCCAAGAGTAAGTGGCGCAAGCTGAAGCACCGCTACAACGTTGCCGAGCTCGAGGTTCCTGAGCCTCAAGAGGAGGAGATTTCCCCCTGAATGTCAACCGAAAAAGAAAGAGGGGCGAGAAACAGGTCGGGGGGACCTCTGCCCCTCGTTGCATGGAGGAGGTGACCTCCAAGGCTGCTGATGTCGACGCAGTCGACCTGACTGGGAGTCCTCCGCTTGGAGAGGCTCCCCAAATGGCTGCTGTGGAGATGACGCAGATTGTCGAGCAGGTTGCTCCAGCTGCCAAGGAGGTGTCCTAGGGTGCTGAGCAGGTCATCTCGACCGCCGAGGTATGTGTCTTGCCTTGTGGCTTCTCTTTTCCTTTTTATGTTGCGTTCTGGTTGAGGTTTTATTTAAGTTGCCACTATTTTCTTTTTTGTAGGCGAGTAAGGCCGCCGAGGTCCTGGCAACCCCGAGCTCTGAGGTGCCAGGAGCGGGTGTCTTTGGTGCAGCAGGGGTCAGGCCCGTGGAGAGCTTTGATGCTGCTCAGGTCCTTCTGCAGAGGGCTATGGCCATTGTGGACCACTGGAAGCATAGGTGGTCCAAGCAGCAGGAGGATCTGGTCCGACTGAGGGGCCGAGTTCAACCCCTGAGGGACGAAAACAAAGTCCTGAAGAAGGAGAACAAGGTTCTTAGTGCTGCCCTTGGTGAAGCGAAATTGCAGGGTGCCGAGCTTCGAGCTGCGAGGGGGGACCTTGCGAGGGTTCAGAAGTCGCTGGAGATCACCCTGCGCTCCAACGAGAACTATGCCTCCCAGGTGAACGAGCTGCAGGGACTTGCCACCGCATCCCGAGGTCGGGTGCGTTTCTTGGAAGACGAGGTGACGTCTTCCCGTGGTCGAGTCCGCTCCTTGGAGGATGAGGTGACCTCCCTGAAGAGTGATCTGGTGGTTGCGGCTGAGAAGCGCCTCTGTGATGAGGTCGTCCTTAGCGGCAAAGAGGATAAGGTTGCCGCTTTGAGAGTGGAGCTGGGGAAGCAGGAGGCGGAGAGGGCGGTGCTGGAGAAGAAGCTAGAGGAAACCGAACGGGCTATTGTGGTTGAATATAAGCGGGGTTTCCTCAAGGTAGCTCGCCAGGCAAGGCTTCTTGCCCCGGGGTTCGACTTCTCTGCCATGCACGTGGAGAAAGTAGTTCGCTTTGGGAAGCTGGTAAAGGAGGACGACCTCGAGGATAGCTCTAGTGAGAATGCCTCCGCGCAGGCCAAATTTTGTAAAAGCCTAGTTTAATTTTCCCTGCTTTATTTATCTCCTCTGAATTCAATTGTGGAACTTTGAAAACATTGCTGTATATATGTGTATTTTTTGTCCATTTGCGCTTTTCTTTGCCTTTGCGTTTAGACTTGATTTTTTGCTGTCTGCGCATTTTGAGACACACGTTCAATGTCTGTTGTGTGTTTCTATCTTTTGTGATACTCGACCTCGAGTTAACCATTCCGGAGTTCGAATGCGACCTTGGATTTTGGTTAAGTGTAGGTTCGAACTCGACCTTAAGTTAATCATGCCGGGATTCGAATTCGACCTCGGATTTTCGTTAAGTGATTTTTGTTAAGGTTCAAACTCGACCTTGGCCATGCCGGGGTTCGAATTCGACCTCGGATTTTGGCTACGTGATTCTTGTGAAGGTTCGAACTCGACCTTAAGTTAATCATGCCGAGGTTCGAACTCGACCTTAAGTTAATCATGCCGAGGTTCGAATTCGACCTCAGATTTTCGTTAAGTAATTCTTTGTGAAGGTTCGAACTCGACCTCGAATTGGTCATACCGAGGCTCGAACTCGACCTCAGATTAAAGTAGAGTGAATTGTACGAAGGTTGGAATTCGACCTTGTGTTTTTGTTAAGTAATTCTTTGTGAAGGTTCGAACTCGACCTTAAGAGAGAGCGAAAGAAGTTGGTTCGAACTCGACCTCTATTCATCATAAAACATAAAGTGATGCAGAACTAAAAATATGAATTGAACAGAATGAGTCATTTTATTGATTATGTAAATGTGCCTCGTTAAAAACCCTCTCAGCCAAAACTCATTTTTCTATTTTTTGGGATAAAAGACTGAGGCGGGAAAAGAGTGCACAACTCATTCGTACAAAATTTAGCTGAAATAGAACTTGAGATGCGTAGCATTCCAAGTTCGTAGTATAGGTTTTCCGCTGAGCTCTTCTAATCGGTACGCTCCATTTTCCAAGTCTTCTGTAACTCAGAATGGGCCTCCCCAAGTGGGTGCAAGTTTCCCATCTGACGTATCTTTCCGTGCTTCGCCCAACAATCGCCACACCAAGTCACCAACTCGGAAAGAGCGAGGTCTCACTAGGGCGTTGTATCTTCGAGAAGCTCGGAGCTTGCAGGCTTCTTCGTGGATTTGAGCTACGTCTCTAAGCTCGTCAACCAAGTCGAGGCCAGCTGCCAACTCTCGAGCGTTCTGCTCGCTGTTAAAAACTTGGCGTCAATGGGACGTCTCTCTGACTTCAACTGGGATCATTGCGTCAGCTCCGTAGGTCAGCCTGTAAGGCATCTCTTGCATGGTCGACTGGGGGGTGCAATGATACACTCAGAGGACGCTGGGAAGTTCGTCGAGCCACTGTCCTTTGGCGTTCCCTAGCCGCTTCTTAAGTTTCCGGAGGATGACCTTGTTGGCTGCTTCAGCTTGACCATTGATTTGGGGGTGTTCCACCGAGGTTGGAAGATGCTTGATACCGAGCTCGCGGAGGAAGTCCTTGAATCCCTGTGTGATGAATTGTCGGTTATTGTCAGTAATTAGGGTGTGAGGGATTCCGAATTGTTTTTGGGCTTCCGTAGCAGAGTGAAGATCGGCCTTGCCTTCTCTGCGAGTCTAGGGATGAAACGGGACAGTGAGACTAACCGTCCAGCCAGGCGTTGGACCTCTTTCACTGTT